AGTTATAATTGATATATATATATATATCCTGCTGCCATTTCCAGACATCATCAACTGCTGCCAGTCGCCAACGTCATCGAATCAGCCCTCTTCTTGGCCATTTCGCCGTGGGACCACTGCCAGGTTCATGCCAAAGACGAGAGTCTCGGCGTTGCTGGGGCCTGACCTGGGCACCGAAGCCAAAACTCTAAGCTTCGTGGCATAACAAAGTGAACATATCCGATCGAATCCCTACACGGCGCAGGCCATGTTACTGTATCCCTTTCGGAGAGGTTGTCCAATCTCGCGCAGACCCCCACAATACTACTTGGCAGAAGCCTCTGAACGGCATCCCTGCCAAAACCACTTTCTGGACGATGAATCAACCTTTGAAGCTAGGTATAGGAAAGAATCCACTTAGCTCTCATCTTGGAAAGCGAAGGCATGACGGCCCTGCAAAACGAACTCGATCTGACCCAACCACTTCGTTGGATTTCAAGGTCGCCATCTTGGATTTGCTGTCCAGGAAAAACAAAACCATTCCCCAGAAGGGTATTGACTCATAAGGAAAATCAAAGTCATCCGATCCGCAAAAAGAAGAACAGTTCATCCCATGTTCCTCCAGCTAACCGGTCCGCCAAGCCACCGGCTTCGGCTGCCTTCCCACGCGCGGCGGACCTGTGTCTCTGCTTCTTGAAACTGCCCTCGGCTGTTCCTGAGAAGCGCAGCTCGCCAAGAAGGCGAAACTCGTTACTTCGACAGTGGTGGCTTCTATACGCCGATCGAACATCCTCCGGCTTCGTGACATTCTGAAACCACCGCCCTGGGTATTCCACGTGTGCATCAGGCATGACTGGGCCTGACTCGAAGGAATAAGTGTGTTGTACAGTTGTGCAACATGTGACAAGGCTATTTTAGAATAATGCATATGTGAAAGCCCATGTCCAGTCTCGTCGCCATATACTTGTTGTAAATACCAAGCATAGGATTCAGGGTGCATGTTGTCCCTGTTTGGAGGCATCTCTTCTCTCAAAGCTCCAGGCTGACTGAAGTGGAAAGCCATCAGCAAAACAGATCAGTGCCATCAGCTAGTAGACCTTCGCTGAATCGCTATAAAGATTCTGTTGTTTTCTTACGAAATCCCACATGAAGGACTCCGGAAGACGCTTGATCTTCCACCAAAACCGACCTTTTGCCGACGGCTCCAGCCCCCCTGACCACTGGATCAGCAGGGTCATTCGTCGGAACAAATGCCACTTTGGACCCACAGCCAGGTCCTCCTAAAACACCATTGACATCCTCACGCGGCTAGGCCAGGAGCTACTAGTAACGTCCTTGCTCCTAGTAGCGATGCCCTTTGCTCATAGTAGCTTCTTGCAGCCAGGTCCTCCCAAAACGACATCCTCACGCGGCTGCCGGGCGGTGCCGGGCGTCAAGAGCATTCCCAGGTTGGATCGCGCGATCAACGTCTCCGCATGCTCCGCGCCCACCACCTGGTCAACATCCACCCAGTCAGTGTGGGACACCAGTGCACGGAAATCGTGTAAAGAAGCCATCGACAGGAAACCGTGACCTCGAAACATGTGGAAAAGTGAAGTGCGTAAGGGAACATGCACTGGAAACAGTTTTAAAGCATTACAAACCGGAATATTCAAAAAGAAAAAACCGGTCTAAAACTGCCATCTCGTGCCCGATCATCTCACGCCTCCTCCAAACCGGTCACCGCGCGTCGCAGCAAGACCTCGGCCGCCTCGAGCTGCCCCGCGGCGCTCAGCACGCGGCCCAGGTGGTCCGCACAGATCAGGGTGCCCACGTTCTTGGGACCCCAATCCGCCTCACCGAGTCGGGCACGACTCGGGCGCAGGGCGCCAGTGGCGCACGTCCGGCGCCAAGAGAACCCTGTGAAGTGAAAGACTCCGGGGTAGCGGTAATGGTGTGCTCCCCGGGGGGGTGTTTGGTATGATCCAGAATGTACAAACTATGCAAACCGTTCCACCTCACGAAAAGGATTCGAGGACTTGCTGGAGAATATTTGGGGTGGTGGGGGTTTTGGGAGTGGGATATCGCTCTTGAAATTGTTTATGGTATTCTGCAGTCGATGTTGGATGCCAAGTACCAGATAGATTTCACCAGTTGGATACTACTACCAGGGTCTCTATATAGTAACTGATACTTGGCTGCGTCTCCCTAGTAGCAGTCTGCTAGTTCCGGATATATTGAGAACTTCTGCTACATCTCTTGATGTGTGGTAATTAATGCTTATGCTTTTGAGGTGCCATTGGTTGATATCCGGCCAGCGAAGTGCATGCTGGCCGATGTTCTGATTGCCACATGGGTGAAGCTCCGAAAAGACATGGCCTCAGCCCATTCCAGTGCCAGGCGTGCCAAATCCAAGACCGCCGGCGCCACATACCTCCGCTCATGAGCGGTCTGCAGGTCCGACAACGCTTTCAACTGCGTCCCCTTCCGTTCAACCATGACCATGGATCAGACTTCCACACAAAGCACACGGGAAAACAAAAACAATGATAAAATGGCCGGTCCGGTCGGAGTTGAGCCAGGATCCAAGGCCCTAAGCCTATTCCCATCTATTCCCTAACCTTGCGTTCGACCATTGAATTGGTTGACCTGGTTTTGCCGTTGATGATGGTTCGGGATTCGAATCTTCAAATCCAGGGTGGGCCAAGAATCCTGCAATAAACCCACCTGATATGGACATGATTGATTGAGCAATCACTAGGCAATCAACAGTCGACCTTAGAGGATCAGTTGTGGATCTCTTTTGAGGAATCAGGTTGAAGTAGTTGCTGAAGATGTTGAGTAAGTAAGAGTAAATCATGTGGGAGCCTCCACATCAGTAATGGTTCCCACGGGCTTCGTCTACGACACGTGTTGAAGGAAAAATGCCACCAGGGCGGCATGTTGTTTTGCTGAGCAGCGTAGCATAATTAGCGGCATGGCATGTCAAAAGACTCTCCTGAAAGCCTCAAGTGCTGCAGAGATGCTCATTCTTGCAGATCGAGCATGTCAGTTGCGTCCATTCTCTTCGGGCTAGGAATTCCTGCAGCGGCAGGAGAAAAATGAGCCCATCAGTGTCGGGTCACAAACCTGTAAAATGTCTGAAAATCGGTTCCCTAGTCCTTTTAGCAGTGGACACAATATAGTGGCACCCAAACGATCCCTAAAGAGTGCTAAAAATTAGAAAGATCTACAAACCTAAAGAAATATGTGTATATATACATATTAGTGGGTATATCAGTAACAGTTGATGATGATTGTTAGTAATTTCCCCCCAAATAGTGATATTATGTTACCGATTGTTTCTGGAAATTGCACATACCTTATATTTACTTATAAAATATGATATACAGTAGTTCCGGAGAATAGGCCTGAGCTTCTAGCAATTATATATAAGATCTGGCGATGTCAATGAACTTCAGAAGCACTTCCGATCTGTGTTTGAACATCAAGAATTTTAGAAGCATCAATCCATATCAATCCCCTTCCGCTGATTTCCGGCCAGGCCCCTACCTCAGATTTCCGGCATGTTCACACGGCGTCACGGTCTCCTTCTTCAAGCACTCGAGGTGCGCAAAGCGCAGGCTGCCGCGACAGGGGCATGGTGCCAACAACTCCCCTGGCATGAGGCAGATCCGACATGCCTGTGCCAGCCAGGCGGGGCCAGGGGGTTTGGATGGATGGGTGCCATCAACAACCAGGGTGAAAAACTTCGAGTGCAAACCAAAGGAGGCCCTCTTTGGTGACCCCGGACCGTGCAGCATTGATCATCATTGACCCTCGTTTTGGCAATCAGTACACGCCATTCATGAAGTGATGGTAGCTGGGACGGGCCCGTGCGAGCAAGGCGCCAGATGTTTGCCATATTTTCCCACCAGGGTTGGTGAGTGGGAGCCAACCCTAGCTTTTCTGTTCAGAGCAGGTTAGCAGGTGATTCTTCTACTTGCCAAACTTCCAGAACAAAGGGAATCAAGATGGAACTCTCTGCCAAAGGGTCCAAAGCATCACATAACCAAAACAAACCTCAGTTATCCTCAGTTGTTATTCGTCAACTATAGCCTATAGATGCCTATGGGTTGTGTGGTCATTTAGGCCAACAAAATTGCATGGACACTAATTGTTGCATGCTTTTGCTTATATAACTTCGGTTGCCGAGCCCAGGGCCCTCGTCGCCCCCTGCCCTCGCCCCTTCAACCTGCCCCGACTCGGCCTGCCCATCGTCGCTGCGCGGCTCCATCAGCGCGTGGGCGGGGTGTTTCCGTGGCCGCCCGTGTCGAGGACGTGATGGATATGATCGCAATTGATTAAAGATAAAAAGTTGTGTTCCAACACTCGTTCTTTCAGACTGCTCGAGAACCAAATGCTGGTATGTCTAGAGATGTCTTGGCAGCTTCAGACCTTATCTGTTGTGAGGCTTTTATTAGGTGAGGAGCCAGGTGTCAGCTGCCTCCCAGGGACGAGTATAGAGTTATATGGAGTGTGGTATCCTCCTCAAATGCAGGTGCTGCAGTCCGCGTCCAAGTCCGCTTTGAGCGTCCGACCTGCGTGGCACGGACATGTGCGATGCGCAATGCCATGAGCAATCTTTCAGGCAATCTGAATCTCTCTATGAATGCTGCTCATGTTCAGAGCTTGAGCAGCAACGAGCATGGCAAACCAGGACTGACTGGTCGAGACCTCTGCCATGGGCCTATTTGGGATGCATCTTTGCCACTCCCGAAACGTCTCCCGAATCCGAGAAATATGCTTGTGACCCCTGGCGCGGTTCGGATCTATCACATGATCTTTCCTAGTAAAAATTGAATTCCAAAACCTCCAAATTGAAGTTGGTCAGGTACCATGATCTTTCGTAATATATGTTGGATCAATCCAATGGATCACATGACCATCTACCTAGTATCCGAGATTAAAAAAAAGGTGCCAATCGCTCTGTGATCCAAGAGATCCCATCTCCTCGTAGCGCACAGAGCACGCACGTCCGTGCACGGCAGAACTCTGAGCACCTGATCTAAGACTCGCAGCTAGTCGACGGCCCGCCGCTACCTGGGTGAGCCGTAGCTGGACGAGGGCTTGGATGTGTCTCGTAAACAGAAAGCCTAGGGCCTAGATTGAAAAAAGTGCTTTAACCAAGTACCAACATCTAGAACCATGGATGAGTCAAAACAAATTCGATATTGCAATTAATATTAAGGCCCTTAAGGCAATGCATCCAATTTGGGCAGGGTGTCCCAACATGGTTACTTCACTGTGGATCGCTCCAGGATCGCTCCAGCACTTTCATTGGACACCAATCGAGAAAGAAAGCAATTGCCCGTGGGTCATGGCACCAGGCTACCGACCAGTTGACCTACCTGGAAGGTCAAGTGGGCCAGGGCTCCAGGTTTTGATCCATCACCACCAGCTTCTGTTGGGCGACCAAGGTGTCATCCTCGGCCCAAAAATGGGGCCCGATGACCACCCGTGGCATGCCGTACACCCGGAACCCCGATGACCACCCGTGCACCCGTTTTTGAGAGCTCATGTGTTCCGGAGCTAGACGACTGCACCATGACAAGACAAGACCCAGACCGGATCCACAAGGTACGACTGCGCCCTCTGTGGATCCATAGGGTCAAAGAACTCGCAGAGGTCGTGCCGAAAGCAGGCCGTGCCCCGCGCAAGCGCGGGACCCGTTGCGCGGGCCCGTTTCAGCCTTCCGCACGACCCAAAAAACGGTCACCGGTCACCGGATGTCTCCGAGATGCTGAGCTCGGGAGGTCTCCGAGGGAGAAGTGAAATCCTCCATGCACAGATGGTCTGTTCGAAGCGTGGCCGTCGCGGCCCGCGGATGAGCATCAAGACTCGCCGGCCCGAACTCGCGGCCCGTGTCACAAGGAAGCATCGAAAAAATGGTACCAGTCTTAACAAAGAAACAAAGACAACAAACCGACTGACTGGCTTGGCCTTGAGAATATCTTCCACCAATCCTCCAATCTGGGGTCCGTGGCAGGCTCTTCACTTGAAAACATGATGATGTTCAAAAACAAAAATACCTTGAGTACGTCCCATGGTATTGATCTGGAGCCCCCTTTTCACTTCTGGGTGGTCCTTCCCCCCCAAAAAAAAGCGAAGCGCTTCTGGATCCCCCGAAGGCGACGATGATCTTCCTGGTGGAGATGAATCTTTCGATGAATCACAGGTGAGTCTGGTCACTAGTGAACTCTCCATTCCGTGTGAAACGGCTTATCTGCTTACTGTGATATGATACGAATTGATACGGTATTGTATGGTAATGATATGCATGTCATTGGTAGGCAAATGTAGGCAACGTCTGGGCCCCGCATGGTCCAGTTGCCGCCAGCTGCAGGAGGTCCGTCCTGGATGGAACATCTCCTCCTGCGGCTGCACGCTTGTGGAAGGGTGATTTCATGTGAAGGGCTGCACCGGTGCAAGCAAAAATGAAACATGGAATCTGAAAATGAACCTTGGGAAGACTGGCTTCCTCTACAAACCGGTGGCTTTCAGGTTCCATGTTAAAAGGTAAAACGCAGGGAAGACTAGCTTTGGGAGTTCTGGATGTGCTTGAATTCGACGACCCCTCGCAAGTTCTCCTGGAGCGGATGAAATCTCGGCCACCTGCCACGTAGCGACAGGTAAGTTCACCCGCTCACATGTTCAAAGATGACTGATCAAGGTAGCAAAAAGGGTTTACATTTGTTTCTGTTCCACTGTCTCTTGTTGGAGGTTGGGGTGACCAGTGCCAGATCCAGTGTCAGGCTTGGATATGGGGTGAATACTTGCTCCCCTATGTCCTGAAAAATGGAAACACCAACGAACACATCGGGATAGTCCCAATACCATGTCGCTTGCCCTTCCAGGTAGGTCAATCAAGATATCCTGATATCCTGCTTCTTGACCCACAATCACAAAACCTCAGAACGGCACCCGTCTAAGACCTCAGGGATCCCAGCTCTGAATCCTCCGTCTCATTCAGCTCGTCCAATCGCCGTGCAGAGCTCCCCTCAGGTGCAAAGGGCCCGGAGCGTAATTGCGTAGGGCAAAGCTCCGTTCGTAGCGTCCGACCGTTCCGTTCGTAGTACGGCCAGGAGCCCCGTTCGTAGCGTCCTTGCTCCGTTCGTAGCGATGCCCTTTGCTCCTAGTAGTTTCTTGTTCCTGGTAGATAGTAAGGCCAGGAGCTACTAGTAGCGTCCTTGCTCCCAGTAGCGATGCCCTTTCTGAATGATCGCCCAAATTAAATGGGCCTTTTGGGAAGGCTCAAGGGCTCCGCTTCACAGCTGTTCTTGGTACCACTTCTGCTCACCAAAAGGAGACAACGATGGAAGACTGGGGAACATGTTTAGAGTCTTCACTTGGGGCCTCGTGTGTGAACAGAGGCTCTCCTCTCCCACTTGGCAGTTCTGCAAGAGATACGTACTTGGGGGGTGCAGAAAAAAAGGATCCAAAGTCGCAGAATGTTTCGGTCCCACCAGTGGATGTCTGAAAGAGATTCAATTCCAATTGTACCCTTCTCCAAACTCACTTGTGCCTAATTGGACCGCATGAATGAAGGAATGTGCCAAATTGTTTGTATTTGGTAAACGCTCTTTTCTGTGGTGCCCTCTCATGGGACCAATCGACCAGCATCGAGCATCACTCTACATGCCTGTCGTCTGGGTGCCCGAGCGCTGCAATGCCAAATCTTGGGATCCTGTCGGACTGCGGGTGGTCGGCGACTCCCATGGTGGACTCCCATCCGAGGTGAGGGCACCTTAGACGTCCCAAAAAGAGCCGACCAAGAGTATCACTGATTATACCAAGACCATCCAGGTATGGAATAACTTACTTGCATTAGGGTCATACTATGTCATAGAGTCATACTCATACATAGGGTAAAATGTATACAACTATTCCATACATGGAGTGTCCATAGAAAGTCAGAAACTCATTGTCCGGGTGGAATATTGGATATTGGTTGCAGCTTCTTGATTGTACCACTGTGGACCACTGGTCATCACTGGGCTCTCGAAAGCTGTCGAACCAGTTGAAGCTTGTCAGTGACATGTCATCAAGTCCTCCAGACGGCGCCCTCCAAACGGTCCAAAATTCAGTAGAAACCCCGTCGTGAAAGCCCGAGAATCGTGGCGCAATTCGCGCACCTGGCAAAGCAAATTTCCAGCTCGAATGACATAAGGCTTTGCCCGATTGCCATAAAGCCAGCAAAACCTCAAGAGGGTTGCACAGAATGGTGCATGATCATGCCAGCGCGTGTGAGTCAAACGAGTCAAAATCCACTGCATAATTTATGTATTGTGTTAACTGGTACGGAGTTTTTGCAAAAGGAGTGGATGTTTGATCAAACGCAGCAAGAGATCAAATCCATTCATCTATACTATACTCCTTTGCGGCTACTTACCAAACAAACTCTTGCAATGTCAATCTTCCATGCAAAAAAAGTCACTTGCCACTCTCAGATCCGTGCAACGCTAAGCTTAACATAATCACTCCCAAAGAAAGCGAGGAGATGTAGAAGGCCCGGATCAACGACCTGCACCGTCAACGAAGGGACAACCACCGGACACTCGACCCGCCGCCTTTGGTTCGGGCCACTCGACGGACAACCGGTCGTGGCTTTGGAGGAAAAGCGCCAAGGGGGACCATCGGCGATGAATGAGTAGGAATTGTTGGGCATCTTATCATGCCGGAGCTGGGTCACAGCTGAATGCATCATTCAGTTACTCAGTTGTATGGCTGAGCAGGCGGGGCCATCTTTATACGCCTGATCAAAACAAGGAAGGCAAGACCATCAACTTGAGGCTTGAGGGGCTGCCTTCTCATGTCCATGTCATTTCCTGCCATTTGCTGTCATGTGAATGCTTTCAGGTGTTGTCATGTCCTTCATGTTTCTATGTCTTTGCATGTCCATACATGTCCTGTCCTGTGCTTTCATTCCTTTTCCTCTTTCCTTTCTCCTTCGTTGTGTTCTTTCGTTTCCTCCTCCCTTTCCTCCCACCCACTTCATGACGCCAGCGAACCATTTTCTGGGTGTCCTAGATGACGTTAGCCAACCCATCTAGAAAATGCATCTCTGACCGTGCCTCAGTAAGCTTGTTTCAGTGCGCGCTGACAAGGCGAACATGAGGCCGAAACGTGGAAGTGGTCGACCGACCAACTGTGGAAGAGTTCATGGTTTTGGATGCATATTCCACCTCCATCATCTTGATTCTCAGGAGTGAATTTCTCTGAATTTCGGTGTCACGGGTTCAACCCGTAGGAAATGAGGAAAGAAGGAAATGGCCTCCCGATAGAGATTCCAATCACCCTCATTCCTTGCTTTCGTCGCACCAGTCGGGTCTTAAGCCTCCACGGCACACCAAACCCTCGCCCGTCGCCCACTTCGATACGTCCAACCGCTTCCCACCTCCGTTCGACCCAGCCTGAGCTCCCGGTGCGACGACCCAGAGCAGGTGGAAAGCGCTCTGAACGGATACAGGCTGACTATTCTTATATATATATATAATTCTTATATATATATAGAGAATTCTACATTTACACACATATGCACAATCTTTAAATGTTGAGTTCCTTTTATTGATTCTTATATTGGTGTTTAAAATAAAAGGAAAAGGCACGTTCTCAGAGACCATGGTCCAACCCAAGGACCCAAGGGTCCTTTGTCGCCCCGGACCTTGGGGCCCAGGTACCGAAAGAAACAAACCCCCTCCTTTTGATATGTGGAGCACCCATTCATCTGGGCACCCAGAGGGGCCGCAAGCTGAGAAAAACTGACACTCTGAAATGCTCCGTCGGAGAAATGAAAGTACGCCATCATCCAAAAGAAACTGGGAGTTGATCTAAATTCCTTTATCCGGGATCCGTCATTTTCGCCAAAAAAAGTACTTTAGCCAAATGTTCGCCTTCCTGCGTTTTATCTTTCGCCGAAGTACGTTGTACTTATGTGTGCCATGTATGTTGTGTTTTGTTCACGTCAATGGCTTCTTCTTTACCGGCAAACAAACAATAAAAACTTCGCTGTTTGTCAGCATGTGTCTTCTACTTAACTGTTGACACCCTGTACGTCTCTTTTGTTTCTCCTGGGCCATGGGTGTCAGCAAGAATCAAAATTGCAAGAATCACTGTGGTAGCCGGTCACTCAAACTTACTCATAATGGGCTGGGGGTCAGATGTGGCAGGGTGAACTTTCGCCAATCTTGAGCTGAACTTTCGCCAAACTTTCGCCTTTTGCGGGGTAGAGTTTTTTGGCAAAGCCAACCCCCCAAAGCAGGAGCAGGAGTAGTAGTAGTAGTAGTCGTCGTCGTCGTCGTCGTCGTAGTGGTAGTGGTAGTGGTAGTGGTAGTGGTCGTGGTCGTGGTGGTGGTGGTGGTGGTGGCGGTGGTGGTGGTAGTGGTAGTGGTAGTGGTAGTAGCCGCAGCAGCAGCAAGTTATCTAACTTCCACAGCTCATCTAACTTCTGAGTCACTGCCACCAGCTGTTCAGGAAGCAAATGAACATTCATACAAAAGTACATAGTTCATCTTTCGCCAGATCTTTCGCCAAAAAAAATACGTTCGCCAACTCGAGAAAAAACTTTCGCCAAATGAGATTTTGATATGTTCCGGGTCATCGTCATACAGAATGCTGTCTAGGACCTTTAGATCGACAACCGTATAGCAATGATAAGATCAGCAAAACAAAACAACTTTGTTTGGCCCAGCATCACCATGTTCCAATTCTTTTTGGGCAACAAAGCTCTACGTACTTGCTGGGACCAGCCCAGTGATGCCCAACGAGGCCCGGGAAAAATGCCGCTGCGCGGTGCCGACTGCCGAGGTGCTGAGGAAGACAGCAAAGCAAATCACGGCCATTGCTACCAGGGTCAGCAACATGAGCATGACCTCATCGGCTGAGCGCGCTAAACGTTGGCTGAGATGCAAGCTGAGCTGGCTGAGATGCAAAGTAGAGAATCATCATATACCAAAATGTAGTTACTGCTGTCCGGTCAACAAACAAACATCCCATGTGGACCAAATGGGAAGGGGTTGCTTGTGCTTAACCTAGTGTTCTGATGTTCAACAGGTAAATCGCCCCAAACAAAGCAAGGCCCTGCTGCGTACTGAGGCTCAAGGCCATGATGACAAAGAAGCTGGGAAACCATTGTTCCCATGCAAACTTCGAGTAGTAGAAAAACCTCGGCATGGTGCATGCCAATGAAATGTTCTACTGGGAGTAGCACAGTATTGTTTTACTGGTTGCAAAAGTAAATCACAACATCCTGACAACTCATGCCAATCCAGGCAAATCCAAGCTCTCCATCTCTAATGACACCGTTAGGGACCACATTTGTCAAGCTCCCTGAGCATCTTGGAATCACCACCTAACCATCCAGAAGAAGATCATCTTGGAATTGCCACCTAACCACACCACCTAAGAATCTTGGAATTCATCTGAAGATTGATTTAAAAGAATAGTCGATACTTCACCCCAAGAGGAAGACATAGGGAGACCTGTCCTTCTGAGACACGTCCTCCACAGGGTAAACCTGTCAGATGTCCTCTTCCGATTGTGGGCACTTCTTCCATGACATGGATGTGTATTTTGACAGGGAGACCCCCAACTATATAATAGGTTTGGGTCTTTATATTTACCTTCTTCCAGGGGCTCCTTGCCTGGGAGGTCTCCCTATTTGACACCATGAATCTCAGCAAAAATGATACAAAAAGTGCTCAGCTTGCACATGCTTGCACACAAAAACATCGTGTGACTCGATTGCAATTGCATTTGCTAACCCTAAGTGTGTCATTGGAACCATGGCCCGAAGTGGGTTGCTGCACCTGCTGTCGCTTTGAAATGACTGTCGGTGACATCCCTCAGCACTGGCAGCCCGGCCCTTCACTGACTCCGGAACCGAAGCAAGATAAAGGCTTGCCGAACTTTCCACCAGTTCTACCACTCTGCGGGGCAAACCATGTTCCCCAAAGAAAGTGTTTGCGGGTCATACACTCTTCGTTGGTTGGTAGGTAGGTAGGCAGGTAGGTGGGTAGGTGGGTAGGTAGATGACCGCTCTTCAGTACCTCCACGTTTCCTATCAACCACTTTTCTTCTTCGGTGATTCGCCATTTTCTGTTCAGACCGACTGTCGACTTCATAGTAAGAAAAAGCCGGGCGACGCATTGGAGGACAAGGTATTGAGGCCGGAGATCAAGGCCTCCCAGCTGAAAGCTACGGGAAGCAGCCAAGTCATGAGGATTGAAGAGCTAGTTATGGATACAAATGGAAGCAACAATTTATATAGATCTCTCGGATACATCCAATACACAATGCACCACAAGCCATTGACTACAGGAACACCACTGGACATGTCTTTGCCACAGCCACGATCAGCCAGCCGACAAAACGCTTGCCGTAGGGGATTGTGCACCTCCATGTTTGTTGGAGGGGTATTAAAGTACGGTTTTGCTTCATAGGCACCGTACGCATGGGAGGAAGGAAACAACAGCCCCAGATCACATGCACTGCCAACCTCCTTCGGAATGGGGACATGATTTGTATGTTTGATATGATCATCCAAGACCTCAGAAGAACTCTTGGCACCAAGACCTCTGGATGTGACAAACCAAACTCGGGGAACCCCTTCTGGGACCCCGTGGCAAACCGGACTCTTACAGCTCAGGGCCACAAACTTGGCTCCCTCATCTCGAACTCAAAAATGCTGGACACATCTTCTGGACAAAGTAGGATCCTTTCGTCCCATGTTTTTTCGAAGGGACAGGTCCCTACGGGTTCCCGGCCATTCCCCATCCAACAAGATAGAATGCGACCCAGGTGTCCGGGCCACAATAGTCAGAACAAAGACACCCAAGGCCATGAAGAGCAGAAAAAGCTTGGCCTTGGTGGATGCCAAACCAAGAGACTCGGAGAGATTATATAAGTGACCTTATAGGACCCTAGTAGGGTACCTATGGGATAGTCTACAGGGAACCTCTGTTGGAAGATCGAAGTGGAGGACTGCTTCACCCGAGAGCGTGGCACAGGTGTGGAGTTTCGTGCGGAGTTGAGGTGTGGACACATGTTGAGGTGTCAGGTGGTTTTCTACAGGAATTTAGTTGGATTCTGCACATGTCCCCTGGACCAAAAGAAACGGGGATGTAGATGATGCGTGGCTCGTTTCATTGAAAGCTGGTGAAGACAATAGTTGGTGTAGTGTTTTATGTGTTTAACGGTTAACTTAAATGTTTAAGGGGTTGCATTGCGAATGACAAGTCTCATGCAACTGGTGTCTAGACTTGACATGTTTGAATGACGGGATGGTCATACCCCAGCACAGAACCGCCGCAACTGAAAGAAAAGAGCTCAGTGATGCTAACATATGCTCACCTGTATTCACATCCAATGTTCACCCCGAAGCTCAAACCATCACAAACAAATAAGGGGATAACACGAGTTGTTGACCTCCATCCCCTTCATTGTCATTCTAGTAGGACTGTGCTGGCCTTGGGGAAGGCCCCACTGTGGTCTAGCAGGGCAACACTGCGTTCGACACAACAAAGCTTGGTTCAACACAACAGAGCCCATAGGAAACCCAAAATCGACAAACAAGCCAATCCGCATTGATGTCGAACACCATTTCTATTCATTTTGGTGGCTAATTATACAAAGGTGGGCAATTAGGTAAGTGACCAGTGACCAGGGTGAGACATTTCAGGATCCAGGCTTCTGGGTCAGCTGTGTCTTGCCGTTCATCTTCCCACCATCCCTCACCCATCTGGGCAGAGCCAGCTGGGTGATCACTGATCCACCGGCAAGAATAGCCGCTGCAACCTGTGGGCTACCCAGATGTTTGCTGGGCAGGTGTGTGTTGAAGAATTCTGCAGCATGGGTCAGAGGGATCCGCTGTGGATGTGACCTCTTCACTGCAGCAGTGAAGAGAGTATCTACACGTTCATAGGATCAGCTAGTGTGAGATAGGATCAGCTCAAGATTGACAGACCATTTTTGTCAAACATAGACTCCCAGATGCGTCAACAAGATTGTGGACCACCAGGGTCCTATCTTCATCTCTTTATCTCTGTGTGGCCACTCCTATGGCAGTGTAACACATGCAGCCGTAGGCCGTAGGGGGAAATTCTGGCTGTCATGTCAAGAACTCACTCACTGGTCACTGGCTTATAGAAGATCGGCCTTGTAAAGGGTCCTCTTCCACCTATATAGAGAGAGAGAGAGAGAGACAGACTTTGCCACCTTTTTCTACGGGTTCCTTTTCCAGTTGGAATGGTTGAGGATGGTCAAGGGGTCTTCAGAAAGACTCTGACAGAACTTACAGAACAGTGTTGACCTCCTGAGCGTTTGAATTGCTGAAGACTCTCCAATAAACTATGAGAGATTGGTTGCTCACCTACAGGCAGGTTAAAGAAAAGATATCAGAGGCCCAACGATGTTACACCTGCAGTAGTCAAAAAGAAAAGAAGAACGCGAGAACTTACTCGTCTTCTTTGTTACTACTAGAAACAAATGCCTTACTACTAGTAACAAGTGCCTTACTAGTAGTAACAAAGAAGCTACTAGAAACAAGTGCCTTACTACTAGTAACAAGTGCCTTACTAGTAGTAACAAAGAAGCTACTAGAAACAAGTGCCTTACTACTAGTAACAAGTGCCTTACTTCTTGTCGTTCCATTGCGGCCGTTGAACTGAAAAAGGTGAACCGCGTGAGCGAGTTCTACTCGGGGCGAGATGGCACAGCGTGGGGTCGGCGCAAAAAGTAACGCATCGGAGCGGTCTTTCCCTGGTTGAGAAGATCAACTACAGTAAATCAACAGATCATCGTCGCCTTTTTACAAGGCCAATGGTGATCAACCTTGATCATAGGTCAACTATCCCATGGGCTCTTCTAAAAGACCACGACCCGGAGCTACCCTGGCTTTTCTGAACGGGAACTGTTTCTTTGTCGCACTTGACCACTCTTGACCGGCGGCATGATCACCGACACGCAACAGCAGCCAGGCGTGTCGGTCTTCCGCGACGCTCCAGATCCAGCGAAAGCGAAACCTACGTGGCCATGTCGTTCAACGCATCGTTTCACACTTCGTTCTGCCGCACGTTCGTTCGCGCGGTGGGGGGCGTTCGTGTCGTTCCACCCTCGACCGGCTGGCACCCCACCGGTCGACCGGAGAAGCGCGTTGGATTCCAAGTGGCAATCAGACCCTTCGTCCGACTCCTCCGCTTCCTCGGGCTGAAAGCCTCGGGGCGGTTGAGACCGGGGAGTTACTTGGAGTTGCTTTCCTGGAAATGTGAGGAGAAACAAACATACTAGTATAATACATGTCCAGAAAATGTACTGTACTTTTCTGAACTGTTAAAAATGACAAACAGGTTGGAGATGAATGGAGGATTTGCCCCAATTCCGGGAAATAAAACCAATAACCAATCCACCCTTTTCCCCTTCAGAACCGGTCGGAGATCCATCCACCATTGGGAGTCGCGGAATTCTGAGCGGATGTGTTGGGGTTCGCATTCGTTCATGTTGGGATTCCAGGCAAACCATCACCGGATGATACAAGATGTATCAAGATGTACTTGTTGCGCTTTGGGAAAGCGCTTTATGGGATTTCTTTTTGGGATGGCCGAGGTTTTGAGGCTAAGAAGGAAGATGAGGTCCCAAAAGAGAGCAGAATAGAGGTCCCTGGATAAGGGGCCATTGAGGGGTTGGTCATGATTAAACAGTATCAGAACATCTGAATCGTAAACTCCAGCAAGCTGTCCAACATCCTTCAAGTCCCTTCATCCTCAACAAGATAGAATATGAAAAGCGAAGCAAGAAATGAGGCGTATGTTCTTTTTGACTTGACATCGAGGATGACCGTGTTACCATCTCCAAATCGAACCGCCCAAAAGCCTCGTGAAAGGCCATATGCCATACTCAAGAGGCGTACAAAGGTATACAAGATGAATCAAGGATTCACAAAGTAGTGTCAGCGCTTGCTTTCAAAAGCTCAATATTATAGCTCAATCATACCAGATACATTTCAGCGAACATCTACAAGTACTTGTGACTAACTTCAGCACATGGCCGACCTTCCCAACGGATGACCCGAACACCGAAGGCATGCAGGGGACGCAGGCAGATGCAGGAACCAAGGGAGCCCGGGCTCTCTTTCACCGCACTGATGGGCTTTGGAAAGGACTGGTCAAACCTGACGGTGGCTGCTCGGTCTGCTCGGTTGCGGCCGTCCGGGGTGGGCACCAAATTCCAGTGGGAACGAGGCAGAATCCCTAAGCTTTACGGAAGTGAATTGGGAGGTATGCCATCCACTCTGAACTCACTGAAATCTGGCTACTCCAAGCAGTTGTGTCTGCTTGTTTGTTGAAGCACGATTGCCATACTCCTACCGCCTTTTGAGACGGTTCATGCTTTTTCAACATGATACTCTCTTTGTTGAATGTCCACGCCACCTGTAGCAATCCTTGGGTTTGAAAGGCCACAGATCCTGGAGACGACCAGGTTCACCGCGCCGAGACCTCTGATGATTGTGAGGAGTTGACGTTTCTGGGTGGTGGAGGGCTGCTTCTTCCCTTGGAAGAGAAGTCCCTGTTCACGTGAAATCCTTCCCTTGGCCGCGAAGTCCTTGTTCACGATCACCTATAAATAGACATGTAGGAGCACCCTGCGCATAAAATGATGCGCTCAATGAACCTTTCGAGTCGTCCAAAAGCTGAAGTCGTGCGTCCTCACTCCGACTCAAAAGCGAGAGTTCAGGGGGTGACTGACTGTGACTAGCTCAGAAGGTGCCAGGCCGAGCTGTCCCAGCTTTTGCCACCGAGCCCGCGGCTGAACTCCTCCATTCCTCAGCCGGGCGGCTGACGCCCGTCTTGGGCACGGTGCCCGTGGACTGAATATACCTGCCTGGGTGACCCATGTTCCAGCTCCAACCGTGCACAAGGCCCAGCTGGGGGAGGGTTCTGATGAACCTAGATCGGCCATGTTCGACCATTGGTCCCCTCTGTCGACAACGGGTGCAACAAGAAAGGCGGAACACCGGTGAAGAGGAACAGTACGAGAAAAGAAAAGCAAACCCAACTCGGACCACTTCAGAGGGGTAAAGATGTTTTGTGGATGTTTTTGTCCATTTGTGGAATTGTCCGGATATGTTTTAGAAGCAGAAGGAACAGCGAGCCAGAGAGCGAAATGGAGGGGGAGAGGCAGGAACAGGAGTGCAAAGAACGAGAGTGCGGATAAGGAGCAAAGAGGAGGGGACTTCTACCCAAAACGGTGGCTCACAAAAGGTATGCGATGGAATGAACCCAGTCACTACCGCAAACCCACCAGGGCGGGCTACCCGTCACTACCCACACAAAAATACTCAAAATCCAAATCTTTCTACCAGAAGCCAAACGCTAAGGTGACCAACAGCACAAGCAAAATGCTTTGTGCAGGACAAGCAAAAACCAAAGCAGGCGAAGGCAAAAGCAAACGCTTTCGAGCGGAAGCGCATATGATAGCAATTCAAGTGTGTGGCTGGCGTCCAAGAGGTTTGCTTCTACCAATCCTCCACTTGGCCAGCAACCATCCATCAAAAGCATCAATGACTCTGACAAATGATGTGGCTTCTTCACATGAAAAGGCAATTTCGATTTCGGGTGTGTCAGTCTTAGATCTCAAGCAAAACCAAAACACCATCATTTGTTTAGGGTGGAAAGTAGACAAGTTCACATACAAGCCCGGCACTTCCACAAGTTGGAGCAACAAATCCAAATGGGTGCGCATTAGAATAGGGAGAACCTCCTTCCAGTTCGGCCCCCTGGAAGGTTTGGAAAATAGACCAATAATTAGCCATTGGTGGGGGGTCTCCCCATTAAATTACACGCTTCTTCATACCCAACCCCGAGAGGTACACTCTGCAGCTTTATCCTCCTCGACCGCTGAAACAGCGCTTTGGCTCCCATGCCATTTTGTGGTGGTCCCAGGAGAGACTTGTGTTGGACCAGCACGCCTGGACTTGCGCTTGCGGGGACTTTGAGCTCGCGACAAATCAAGAGACCCGAATGAAAAAAATAGCAAAAGAAGAAAACTGTTTCTTAGGATTCATCGTGGCATCGGCATAACCCATGGGCAGTTTTTCATCGAAAAGACCGCAACCCATCAAAAGTGACCCACGTGATGGCAGGCCCAGGTGAAATAGTTCTAGCCTGGGAAGCCCCTTCAAACTGTGGTTTGCAATGAGAAAGAGGTCAAGGACCTGGGTGTGTTGCAACATGCTGGCCACAGTGATCCTCTTCCCCGTGTTTCGTGATGAGAGCTCAACCCAAAAAAAGTGTTGTCACAGTTCGTGAATGATTCGTCGTCTCTACACTCTCCAAAACCGCTCTTTTCACACGTCTACCGGGGACCACTGAAGTCAAGACCTGCTAAAAATAGGTCAAAGGCCCCGTCAAAACCGATCAAAACCACCTGGTGACCGTCTTCACCTGCTGAAACCTCGGTTTCAGCTCCATCGAGCCGGTTTCCATCTGAGTCTCCCGCTGGGCACCCCCAGGCCTCAGGGAAGAAACCGCTTCTTCGTCGACAGAAGATGTCATGAACAAGTCGGCACAAGTAGACAAACCACGAGTCATTTGTAATGCTGAACCTCTCAGCGTCAGAAATACCTCTCAGATCATGATCAGGAGCTGTCTTTCTTTCACCCTTGGGTGCCTTGCAGCGTTCGTCACTGGGTCCTCGAAGGACCGGGCACACAACACTGGGTCCTCGCCGCCCTCGAGCCACCGGACGCAATTTGAAGCGCCGAGGGGCCTCGGAGAGTCAGGCGACCGAGTTGGATACGGAGCAGCAGCGAATCGGATGACCTTCAGGTGGATTGGTGCGAACATTCACCCGATTCCTGGATTCCTGGAGTCTTGTGAGGTGTGACAGTGTGGAGATTGCAGGATGGAGATACATCAACAGCAAGCAACGACTAGATTTGAAACGGCTTTGGGCTACGTCGGACCGCGGTCAATGGTACCATGTGTGTACGAAGACCCAGGAGTGTTTGTTCGAACTGAGGACGGACTCACGACACCCCCTGGACAGGAACTATTGCAAACTCTTGATTCATTTTTAAAAAAATGAAAAGGTGGCTCAAGTCTTCAAATGTCTTTGTTGTCTTTGTTAATCAAGAGTCTACATTGGTCTTTTTGGGGAGTTGAGGATTCGCGATTTCCTCATTCCCAATTCCAATCACCTTCTTCCCAAAAAGATCCAAAAAGTATGTGTTCTGTTTTCTGTAATTCGCAGAAGCATCTGGCAGCGCCCAGAGGCCACCAGAGTGCCGAACACCATTGCAAGAGGAGACCGCTTCAAACGATGTTCCCCACTTGCCAGTGTTTTAAGGGAGTCCCCTCCATGGAGTCTCCACGATTCCCCCTCCTTAAGACAATACTTTCAGGATCTTTGCTCTCAAGCCAAGCGGCCCATGTACGGCTGCGTAGGTACTGATCTTATCGACATGGCGAAAAATGCCTCTTAGAACATAGCTGCAGGAGTCATGAGCACTCCAAGAGCGGAGCACCAAACAATATGCCAAACGCAAGTGACGACAGAAAGTTGGGGATCGATATATGGATGGATTTCGGATGGATGGTCTACCCAAAGCTTGCCAAATAGCAAACACAAAACCAAAAAGGTGCGCATTCCCAGCTGCAGCTGCGGGCCCTTTTCAATCGCTGGAACGATCGGACCGCGCGATTAAACTTAACTTAAAAGAACCACAGCTTGGTCCGTGGGACATCAACGATTGCAGGCTCAGCCTTTTCCTTCAAACTCAGCTGATCGGTGGATCGGTAAAAACCCGCGTGACTCTGCTGGAAGCGGATTCAGGATTCCTTTGTGGATCCGTCTGGCGCAGGATGTGAGCCCATCAAGAAAAGAGGCCACAGCATCTGGCACTGAAGTTCGGCGTGCCTCCCAAAGATCACGATCTGAAAGCCAACGGTTTGTCGGGAAAAAATCCATGCACGTCCTCTTCCCAGCTTCTTTACCTTCGATTCTTAAGCGCTTGCTGCTTGCTCTTGTCTTCCATTGGCTCCATCCTGCTGCTCCCTGCTGCTCCCTGCTGCACACCAAGCTTCACCAATCTTTCACCTCTGTCCCAGAGACCCGGGCTTCAGACTCCCTGGGGCGCGCTTGCTTTTCACCGCTTTTTCACACCCAAATGGAATGGAACGGTTGAGATCGGTTGATGAGAGGAGTGGTTCAGCTTCAGGAAACAGCCGAAGGACTCCCTCCCCCATCCGCCGCCCAGTGTCGTTCTCGTTCTCTGGCAAAGTGGTCCGCTATAGTCACGGATGACCCGGTGACCAGAATAACGGACATGGGATAAAGAAACACCCTCGTGACCCGGAATGGGATGTCCAACCTTGGATTTCAAATGCCAAACCACGGTTTGAACCACAAAATGAGGTGCCCTACCTGAAGCACCCAAGAAATAATTCCGGCCAGACCATAGTGCCATAGTGGATAATAGTCAACATCATCTAGTCATATAGATTCTAGATAGCATGTTTCACCTTATATAGACCCCAAAAAAGATAGAAAAGTAGATCCCCACTAAAAATGTATTGGAAACCGTTTCTATCTATTTCAGGACCACTATATACATAATATATGATTATATATATATATATATCTGTGTGTGTGCGTGTGTATAGTCATGTAGTCATGTAGATCGCATGTTGATGCATGTTGTGTCATATATGTCTCTCTTCTCCTTTCCCTTTCCGGCTGCTCAACGGGACTACGTACTGAAACCCGGGAGAAAACCGAGCTCGAAGAGAACACGGGGATCCGACAAAGGACAAGGAGGACGTAAAGAAAAACAAAAAAAACAGAGTGACCTCTATTGAATTATTGGGGATCACCAATCACCCAAAATATGTGTTTTTTCCTATCTTTAAAAGAGAGGTCACTCAGGATCTAGGTGTGATTAGTCGATATATAGTCTGTATAATACCTTGTTTAGAATTTCGTTGTAATTGTATGGTGTGCATGTATAGTTAAGGTCTTGCTATTTTGCATTGGTGCAGTCTTTAGATTTTAGCAACTGTCCCTGACATGATCAGTTTCTCCATAAATGATTTCTGATGTTCTATGACCTACAAAATTCCATGTTCAGGCTGCCAGGCTTTATTCATCCGTCCACGGCACCGTCACTCTAAAATGGGTCCGGCATCGTACAGATGTAAAGGCTCGGCAGTATATAGATATAGGCGGATATGAATGGATATGATATGTTCTAATAGGACTCTACGCGCCGGGTATGACCCGCTCATTCCCGGCCCAAACGCGCTTTCGGACCCTCGCGAACCGAGGAACCACTCTTACCATCTTACCCGTGTGTCTCGCGTCCAACAGAACTGACCAAGATCCCAAAAGGGACGGGCCCCGGTTGTGCTAAAAGAAAAGCACTAGCAAAGTGTTTGTTCTTCAATCACCATCAAGCACCCAGCTGGCTGGGTTGGTCACCAACCCCTTTCACTATGTGAAAGATATCACGACCTGAGACTGTCGGCTCATGGATGATGTTTCCGATGTTACGAAAGGTCAGCATCTCGTCACTTCGGACTTGACACCGGTGCTGTTTTGGTGTTCGAACGCACCTGTCGTTTCACCTCGGGCTTAGCTTACCGATGCTTACCGGGCCCCTGGGAGTAGAAGCCCTGAAGAGATCGAACGACAGGCCCAAGCTCAAACGTCAACCACGTCAAGAGATCGAGCCAGAACTACCTAAGAAGACTACTGCCAGAGCACGTCTCGCAGAGTCGAGGCCAGAGCATGTTTTACAGACTTAGACTGACCGAGATTGGCATGCGATGCGTCATCATTTTGGGTCACACATCACCTCTGCTGAGCTTAATACTGCTGAAGGACCGGTACTGCATCACCTGAAAGGGATTGTACGCCGTATATCCCACGGGGTGCAGACTCCTTCCCACATGCAGAAAGAACCCCTGCGTTCGAGGCCATCGCTCCGCTGCAGACACCCTCCATTCGGGGTGCGACGGACGTGCGACCTAGCCGGTTTGTTTGTTCGCTCCACATGCCGAAGATCCGAAGACGTCCTGCAACATACGATGGACGATTGAATCATGTGAATGTGTATTTAGGGCCTCCCAGGCAACGACCACATTGGAAGGCGAAGGAAATACGCCAGGGCGGTCTCCCTATTACACACCCATGTGTGACACGCCATGTCCATCTGTCCAACTTGAGATACTCCTAGCATCGTTGACGAACACCAAACTGTCAGGGATGGCAGCAAGAATTGAAGACCCGGTTTGCCAGGCTTCCCTCTAGCCCCAATGAGTTTCAAAGTGGTCTAACCCTTTTGCCCCCTCCTAAATCAGTAAATATCAATGAACCTCTAAAGAAACTTGCAGTACTGTAATCACAGTAATCTTTTTACACCCCATCACCCCATCTTAAAGAAGGATCAAGAAGGTACCTCTCCTTTTTGTCGTGTCCTTTAGTGTCTCAAGACTCCTACAGCATTCTTCTGATGAATCAAAACAGCAGCTCTGGATGCGTACACAAAGGTCCGTCCTTCCGTCCTTCCGCATCTTGCAACATCCGGGAGTTCCACCAAGGTCCGTCACTGGAGAAAGCAACCAATTGGGGGGTGTTTAACCGATGCGGGAAAAAGGGTTGCACCATCCTGGCACATCAGGTGCTTCTTGTCGTGTCTCGAGCGACCGTCTCCCGGCTCATCACACGGACGACCGATGCACATGTTGAATCATGTCGATCGTGCCGTCCCGGCAACAGCAACCAGGCCGCGTTTCGGCGAGCTTGGCAATTGAGAACCTTGTTTGGATGGGATCCTCTGCACTCTTGGACTGCTGGAAAGGCAGCGATTGATGCGGACTCAAGTTTCAAGCCCCAAAACAACCACGAACCTCTCTGGTCACCAACTAGGCATATAAAATCCTATAAACATGACTCTGATTGGAACAAACTGCATAGGCATAGGCGTTTCAAACCAGGGTCCCTTCCATCACCGAAGCTTCAAACCGCCCGGGGTCTTGGGACTCACCGACCGTTGGGACTGGGTTTGCAGTCGATGTGGGTTGATTCAGATTCGGAGTCCTTGAACTCTGATTGAGCAATGTTTTCATGATCGATTCCATCAACGGCATGGCAATTGAACCTCATGAGGGTCCTGAGAAAACCCTCAAATAGACAGCAACCATTTTTGAAGCTGTTCAATAGATTAGAATCTCCACCCATATCCACCAAAACGGAAAATTGCCTATCTCATCTCCGCCTTGGACTCTGCCCCATAAACCATATCCACCGTCTGGAGCCCCATACGCCCCGATCCAAAAAAACACGACGCCCTGCCAGCTCGCTCGCTGGTCCCCGGTCGGTGGCTACCGGGGAGGTTCAATAGCCCGGACCACGTCACTCGTGGTCCCGTGGTGCACAACCTCGAGTGGGTCCCCGCAGCAGGGTGCCGCAACGAATGAATCGAAGTGTCGACCCGCAGCAGGTTGGGTCTGTCATGCTATATCCCAATCTCTCTATGTCCAGTGTATAAGGCCTTTCCCAAAGATACTGATAATCCTTTTGTCAACTATAAATGTTGCAAGCAATGGGACATCTTGGGACACACCCAAAAAAGTGGTCAGGTGAAGCTGAGTGGCTCACCAGCACCGAGCACCCCCAGAAACTTTGAAGAAACCCCGAACAAAAATTCAGCACTCTGCCCGTGGGTCTTGGGACAGGGGAAGAACATGAATGAAACTCGTCGTATCCTGTCACCCTCTTCTCGCTGCCCTGGCTTCGTGAAACAAACTGAATTGTTTTTTTCGTTGCGCGGTTACTCATCGGTCGGAACAGAGGATTGCCAAATTGATTGACCTCTTCTGCCCAATGTCACGAACATCGAAAGTCATGTAATTGAATGATGGAGATACAAGCTTTACTGTGCTTAGACATGTGAAAATAGATAAGTGTACATATGTATATGCACTTTAAATACTATAACTTTTTTGACATTATCTGATATCGTATGAAACTACATATCTGATATTAAATCAAAGATATGTTTTCCTTTATTAGATGACTCTCCAAAATTAGATTTAAAAATTGATTTTATGTTGCACTACTTGATCCAAAAAACATGTTAGAATTAAATGTTGTAGTTTACTATATTAACTATTTGTAGTTTACAATATTGACTGTTTATATAAATAGAAAAACTGCATTATAATTTGTGTTGTAAGATACATAAAACTACACCATGTTGTATTGGTGTTTACACTCTATATATATCAAGAGAAAGAGATAAGTAAAGAGATAATGTCAAGATTGTTGGTCAAATTATACAATGTACAAAAGTGTGCTGCGGTTGCAGCCCCCGTAAGTGGGGTCGAGATAAAGACGCAAGGCTGGATCAGCTACATCACCCAATCTGGGTCCGGCTACCGGAACGTCCCTTACCAGAACCTTTAACGGAGGGATCAGGGAGGCCCAGCTCTTGCAACATGTTGCGTTGACAGCCAGAGTATTGCAGGCTTGCTGCACGGAATCCCAGCTCGTGCTGTCAGCCGAAGAAGGGGTGAAGATTGGGAGCCAGAAGAGCCTCCCTCACCAGCAGGGCTGTTTCGCTGGGGCGGAACACCAGGAGAAGAGGCCAGGGTCGGTTTTTTGGAGATCACCGTGGTTGACCGCTTCAAGGTATTTTGCCAAATTTCGCGACAACCTGCACGTATCACTATACTTCGCCTTATATCTGCAGGCGGCCACGAACTGCTTGCTCGCGCCAAGGCACTCTTCCCACCACGCTCACCCCTCTCCCTCGGTGGCATAAAGCCACATCAGAATCGGCCAGCCCTACGCACCAAGAGTCTTTCTGAAAAGGCGCAGCGAAAGGAATCCAGAAAGGTGAAGAGAATGAAGCGCGCAAGCGCAGCCGCAATGAAAAGGAGCTACGGCTGACGATCACATAAAATCGGTGGCCACCCTTGAGCCAAATGAGTTGAAGGAGACATATTGTCCACGGGCTCGAAGCAGAGGCGTCTCCATGCACAGCGCTACGGCTCAAGGTAATTTAATGGAGCAATGCTCACATGTAAACGACCCCACATTGTGTTGCAGGTTCTGCTTAAACGGACACGTCGCCGATCCCCCCATCTTACTCTTTGGCCTCTGCTCACTGTGCACCAGCGAAGGACGACAGCAAGGAGGGGGGGATGAGGGGAGGCTTGGTATAGGGGAAAGTAATATCTGTGAAACAAACAATTGAGACGTGAATATGACTAGAATCCCTCACTCTCTAATCATCTTCCACAGAAACAATACATCAATGCTTTGAGGATCATTTGTGCGACAAGCGCAATTGCATCCCATGTCTCGGCCTCCCCCGGTAAATTTCAACATCTCGATCAGCAAGCCCAGCGGAACAGCTGGCACCAGTTACAGTTTGCAGCTGTGGGCCCCCTAGAGTCGCATCACAAGGTTTCAGTCAAAAATTACACCAGCATAGACCTCAGATAGCGGGCGCATAGGGAATAAGATCAGAGTTCCTGAGAGAAAAAGGATCCCAATGTCTAATAGCGTTCGTTGTCAATGCGCGGTGCCAAGGGGATTGTTCACCTTCCTAGCGTTTGCAGCGCCTGGCGTGACATGACGTCATCCCTGGCATGACGCGATGTCATCCGTGGCATGACACCGTGTCATCCACGAAGGAAAACAACGCATACCACAAGGCAATACACGCATCAGTTTGTCAAGCGCAGTATAAGCGGATATTGTCCCTGGCATGACACCATATATCCACGAAGGGAAACAATGCAGGCAATACACGCGTAATATGAGCGGATATCGTCCCTGGCATGACATGATGTCATCCCTGACATGACACTGATGACACCCCTGACGTGACACGATGTCATCTGTGGTATGACGATTTCATCCCTGGCATGACATGATGTCGTCCCTGGCATGACACCGTGTTACATGCACCAACTTCTCAAGTGCACAATGAGCGGATATCGTCCCTGGCACGGGCAAAACGAAACGCGGATCCAGAGCCACACCATTGAGAAGTAAGAACTCCTGTCCTATAAATAGCTTGCAGCTTTTGGAGAAAAAGTTCACCGGACACTAATGATATGACACTCAGGATAGCTGATAACAATTACGCATCATATCGCCTACATCCGCAATGCTTCAGCGAAGCCGCGCGTAGTCTAAGGACACCTCTGACTGGCCGTCGCTGGCATCGACCCCTGCGGATTTAGCACCGTGGGGGCGAAGGTGCACTGCAAGTCAGGCGGCACGGCGGTGTGCTCGGTGGGAGTCAGCAGGAGCTGGAGCCGGGCAAAGTCCGACGTCTTGGTCGCGGCTGCGTTGAGCAGCCACCTGACCAGCCTGTTGTTCCTTGCCTTCTCCGCACCATAGTAGCACACCCCTGTTTCCCTGGCTGTCAGCAAGTGTAAAGCTGCTGGCCAGCCAGGGTTGTCGCCCCACACCTGCAAGAAAAGGTTGCGACCGGATCGCGTACCAGGCAAGATTTATACTCTCCAGAACTTACGAAAAAGTAGTTTTGCAGCAAACTTCCTTGTGAGTTTACTGGAGCGTATTATGTATAGTTGGTCTCGTTTGAACTTTCTCGTTCGTCAGCTCAGGCTAGGGTTTCAAAAGCGCTCTACCAAATAAAGATGCTTACCTAGGCTTTTGCAAACTTCCACGCTAAACGAAATCTTTTTATTTGAGTAGTCTAGTCGAAGCAGGTACCTGTGAATAATTCACTTTGCAAATGATCGATGGCATGTGCGATGTATCGGATACAGTCAATAAGGGCATGTGCGTCTACATTCCCCAGAGCTGACGAGGAAGTAAAGCTAGCTAGACACCGATCAGAATAACAGGGATTTGGTACACTCTTAACTTTAACCAAATAAAACACAACATCATTGCCCAATGTCTTACTCACCCCAGGTGCATCCGTCTTGGCCGCAGCCGCTTCCAAGCTGGCGGAGCATACGCGTCCGGACTTCTGAGTTGCCCCAGTCCTAGACCCTTCTGAGACGGCTTCATCGCCTTTTTAGATGTAGACCTGCTGGGCCTGCAGCGAGCGCGCGAATGCCAAAGTGTCAAGACCTACTGTCAACGCCAGCTGCACGCACGCACAGTTTTCACAGTGCAGGTTCGAGCTTACTTAGATAGCAGAAGAACAGGGAAGTACATGGCCACATGAGCCTATCGGAATGGCCAGGAACGCGCTGCCATGAAAATGAGGAATGGGTTATACAATGGAGTGGACGACCGTTTGTTGGTTCAAAGTTACGAAGGCCCGAGTGTCTGGCTGGCATACTGACTTTTGGTTTCCCTTGCTTCGAATAAAAGAATACAAGAGAACACCCATCCCGCCTCCACAACCTGCCTTTGTTCCGGGAAGGGTAACTTCAAGTATTTCTTGAGATATATAACTATATAATTGGATGTCCTTTTGTTTTCCAATTAAATAGTTAAAGAATAAATATGTAACTACTACATCATTTGTTTGGGTGTCCTTTTGTTTTCCAGTTAAATACTTAAACAACTAAATTATGATTATTGGATTGAATTGATCTAAAATGTAACAACTATGCATTTCAATGTCCTTGTTGTCTTTTCCGGTATTTAAATATTTAAAGCAATAAAATAACTAAATAAGGAACTATTTAATGCTTCAATTGGATCTGTTCTTATTTTCCAACTAAATCTATAGATTCATTTGTTTGCATTGTTCAATAGCTGTCTTGCATATACACTAACGAAAAATTACCTAGAGGACCCTCTATCATAAATATATATATATATGCCCGATGCGGATGCAGTTTGGGTCCCGCATCTGGGCTTTGGTCTTGTACGTTTGGGTCAAAGAAACCTGCCATCCAGGGTGTTCAGCTGACCCAAGATCCGCATCAACATCTAGGAGATGGTGGAGTGCATATGGGAGAACGGTAAAGAAAGGCTGCGGCTTTCGGAGGTAAACAATCAAACTACTGTAAAGTCCTTCAACATCTGAGGCCTCAACATCAAATCCATCAGATCACTTCACTCCTTAAGTCCATCTCATCCTTGGACGTTGGCTCCTCTGGCCTTGGAGTAGCGAGCTCAGCTTCGCACGGGGGTTGGTTTGGGTCGCACTCCGCGGATCGAGTTTGGGAATGGAAAAATGGCCGGGTCTTGGGAGTTCAAGACATAACAATAGAACAATGGAACTTCCAAAGACATAACAATGGAAAAATCTCCCCAATGTTCAAAACATAACAGAACACCTTCCCAACGAGAAGAACGGGTGTAGAGGCATGGAGTGAAACAGGAACTGCTCAGTGTTAGACTCGTGTGTGCAAAAATATATAGCACAAGCACAATCGCAAAACCCAGGTGCCAAACTGGAACCCTTAATCTGGAAGATATCTTGGGAATCGGCATGGGTGCGTTCATGTGTTCTCTGAGCTCTGCTTCAAGTTTGAAGCCACTGACAGCATCTTGGTGGGGAAATTGGCACAGGCTGGCATTTCCATTCACAGCACCCGTTGGCAAACTTCACCGCACCCTCTATTGTGCACGCCACGTGGCATCTTCTTGGAGCCGCAGAATGCGTGACGCAGCAGCTCGCGACCAGCCTTGGCCTTCCTGCGAGCTGAGTGTTGAACAGCCAGCCACTGCATCCGACGAGGGGCTTCCATCCAGCATCTCCACCCAGCGGGCGGATCAAAAGAAGAGCTTTCAGTCGTTTGAAGAGGGCGCTCGAAGTCAAAAGGCCTTTTTCCAGACCTTTGGTCCATTGATTTGGTGAAAAGGAAAGGATTAAAAGTTGGGATTATTGACAAGCGGAAGGATCAAGCGAATCCAACACCTCAAAGCAAACGTCCAATCCAAAAGACCTGAATTCCCATACACCCCATGAACCCAACCATGGAAGTGTTAAGCCCTATCTTCAAGGAACTGATCGCCATCGCAACTTACAGGACATCCATTGCAAGGGCATGTCGTGCGTACCAGGGTAGAGATGGATGGATGGATGGATGGATGGATGGATGGATGGATGGATGGATGGATGGATGGATGGATG